CAGACTTCTTTTTTTGAAAAATCATGTATATTTTTTACACTTCCACTGACCAAATTTAATCACCTCGCAATGGCATAGAAGCTAAAAACTTAAATAGGGTCAGTTTTGATTTTATGTCAACTTCAAGCACTTGACAGCATGAAAAATAATAACAAAAAAATAATAATAATAACAATACTCTACGGATAAGAACATTTGTGAAAACTCCTAAGCACAAAATCCTCTGGCTGATTTAAGCAATAGTGTTTGTTAAACTTAATGATCCTGTTGGTTAAGTAAAGCACCAATTTACTTACTAGAAATGTACTAGTAATTTACTAGTTACTTGAGAGAAGTCATCTGGTTATGTAGCTAACGCACAATACTTGCAGTACATATCATGACTCTAGGTAAGTTGAACACTGTTCAAGAGAAGTGAAATTAAAGACGTTTCCTCAGGCGATTAAAAACTACTTGAGAAACAGATCCACTGTTTACTGAGAATCATATTTCATAACCCTTTCTGAACAGCTCAAATGGCTTCTTTGGAATTACATTAAATTAAATCCTATCACAAGAGCTTAAGAGGTAGAAATACTGTACCATACTGTAATCATAATGAATTTCATAGCAACTAGGAAAACATTCTCTTATGTTATGATATTACTTTACTAAGCATATGAAAGAACAATTTTCACCTGGCAGACATAAAACAGGCAAATCCTATCAACCTTTGTTGAACTAAATGATATCTAGAGTATGCAGACACCATAGCAACCACCTAGCAACCGTATACATCACGCTTAAAATTCTCAGAACATAAAAAAGACAAAACATTTATAATGTTACAAAAGATTTGTATTTCAAATAAATAATGATTTCTGAAGGATCATATGACACTGAAAACTGGAGTAATGGCTGCTGAAAATTAAATTTTTTTTTATCACATTTACATCACAATTACATTTTATTATATTTTATGTTTAATTTTATTTAATTATATTTAAATGTTTTAAATATTAAAACAGAAAACAGGTTTATAATACATTTTATTTTTTATATTATTTCAAAATATTACAAATTTTACCATATTTCAGCCTTTTTCAGAAACGTTTTATTTTTATTGAACCTTTTGTGTCGCTGGGTACAACAAAATAGCAACAAAATAGCTGTTGAACAATCATATTTCTTAATGAATATTCAAAATAATGGCAATTTGCATGTAAACAACTGAAGAGGTTGTATTTAATAATAATAATAATAATAATAATGGACTAATAGACAAAAATACTCAAATTATTATTAATAAATTGAATATATTAGGAAAGCTTTTTAACTTTTACATTTATTTATTTTATATTATAATTGTTAATAGGCATATACATGAAAAAAATAATGATGCTGACCTTTGTACCCCTCTCTTAAAAAATGTGAACACATGAACTTAATATATTTATATATTAAATTTATATATTTCATTAAATACCCTCCAAGCCCACATTCACATGGATGCTGAACATTTTAATAAACTGTTCTGTGAACAAAAGTATACATAAACCAGAGAAATCCCACACATGCACAGATATTTTCTCTATTTTCCCGATGTAAACACGCAGTAAGACCCAAGAGAGTCTTAATCTGTAGACCTACACATTCAACCAGTGGTTCACATGAAAATACGGAAGACAAATATTATTATTATTATTACATTATAATATATTCAAATAATGCTACGTCATTGCAAATTTGCTATTTCTGTTTCAAACATGTTGGAGGTTAAACTGTAGGATAATTTGAAGCGTGAACCACCCTTTTCTTCTCTGCTTTGCATATTGAAAGTAAACATCCAAACCTACAGGGCTTTGCAAATCATTTACATGAAGATCGGAGCAGAGAACCTTCCCCGTCTAAACCAAAACTTTTCACAGGAACCAAGTTCAGCTTTGTAAACCATAATTAGTGGTGCTCACTAATCTAAACCATATAGCATAGAGTTTGATCAAATCCAGTGTGTCCTCAGCTGAAAGCACTGTTATGTTAAGGCAGTGATTACACTGGTTCTCATGTCATCAGAATATTGTAAATGATGCAATTCTGATCATAATTACAGTAATCATAATTACAGTAAAATATATGGAGCACTGTGGTTTTAATTGCACTATACAGGTAAGTATACTGTACGATTTAATTGCATTTCTGCCACTCGGATTATATATATATATATATATATATATATATATATATATATATATATATATGAGAATAGTGACATGGCTGTAAAACAAATATATTTCATTAGGGAGTAATGAAAATAAGGTCAAGGAGCATGCAAACACAACTGAAGAGGTTCCCCGTCTCATGTAGACATCCTAAAATCAATGTAATATTAATTTAATCTGGATTAAATGCACAGTAATCAGACATATCAGATTGGTGTACATGTAATCAATGCCAATGTTTGTATAATCTGTTGCTCAAATGCGGTTGATAGGTGTTGTTTGAAAATGCCACAGGCCTGACTCAAGGACAAGTGCCATGTAAGAATAAACACATCTATATACACACACACACACACACACACACCCAACACAAAGCAGCGTTGACTGCGGTGACATCACTCTATGCCGTCATAAAACACCAATGGGAAATTCCAACATGACACAATCAATGGAAACAAAGGGCCCTGCCCTGAAGACGCGGCTCAACCCTACAAGAGCAACCCTATCAGCTGAACAGAGTTTCTCGTACCCTGACTGTGAGCTCAGAAGAGATTATGTTTGCTGTCACTAAAAAAATCTAAAAAAGCTAGATTTTTGCCATTTAGCGTGTTTGGTGCGTGCAAGTTGTCTTATTAAGACACAATGCTTGTGAAGTTTGGTGAATCCAGATACTATTTTTCTCCAACAAACATAAAAACATCCACTGAGCAAATTACATACATTTGTCTTTAGATTAGGTTAGAATGATAGTATGTAGGTTGTATATTATAAAGATACATGCATCTGTAAATGTGACTAAGATGAAAACCAATGCTAACAGATGAGATCTGCTTTCAACAAACAGTGTTGAACAGTGTATTTCACACTGGTAAGAGCCCTTAAAAACAAAATGTGGGACTGGTAAAATGTTTACAATAACATAATATTTTAGTGATTAATACTTTGATTGCAAAAGACTTTCATGACATCTGGTTATCTTTGAATGACTGGTTATAAAGGCAGGTGCTGTTTGCACCCATAATGTATTGACTAGCAGGGGTTCATTGCTAAAGCTAACCAGCTAGTAACCCCCTATTGGCTGCTGTGTGCATTAAAGGGATAGTTCACCCAAAAATGTGATGTTTATCTGCTTGTCACAATCTATCTACAATCTCAATTAGGAGTGTCAATGGTCCATTTGAGAGATAGGTGGCGGTAATGCACTTATAAGTCTGCGATCCGGCATAAAGCAAGAAGAAGAAGAAGACGCGTCACATGCCGGAATTTGAGAACGCGCTCAGGACAGTTCGAACATTGCGGTGAATCAGAGGTAAAAAACTATATAAATACTGTTCAGTTTCTTGCACAGATCGATCGTTTCGTGTCTTTACACATCAATGTATCGTCACGAGCCACAGGGTTTAATTTGGTTTTGTATGTGTATGTTTTTTTGACTCTCAAAGCCGTGATACCCATTCACCTCCATTATATGACTGACAGACTGCAACAGTTTGAGTTAAAAATCTTCGTTTGTGTTTTCTTCTGAAGAAACAAAGTCACCTACATCTTGGATGCCCTGGGGGTAAGCAGATAAACATCACATTTTCATTTTGGGGTGAACTATCCCTTTAAACTACTGAAAGCCAAAAAGGCCAAAATTATTGAGTGTGTTCCACTAGTGTTTACAACCAGCTGAGGTTAGAAGGGCCTATTTTCATAAAAATTTAAACATACTTTATAACTGATTCTGATTGCACGAGCCATGTTTGAAATGCAGATAATTGCACACCTATGATTGCACATTATATATAAAGGTGCCAAGTTGCTACATTGCATTTCAGATTTCAGTCAGGCTAATAGACAAAATTATTCAGATTTTTAAAATTAATGAATGAATGTAAATATTTCCAAAATTATATACTCTATATTACATTATTTTATATAAATATTTTATATGTTATTATAATTATTTGTATATATTTTATATTATTATTTTATTTTATTATTTTTTATATTATAAAATATTTAGTGCTGTCAACCGATTAATCGCGATTAATCGCATCCCAAATAAAAGTTTTTGTTTACATTATATATGCATGTGTATTGTGTATATTTATTATGTATATATAAATAAACACACATACAGTATATATTTTGAAAATATTTACATGTATATACATTTATATATTTATATTATATTTAATATATAAACATAACATATTTTTCATAAATATATACATGCATGTGTTTGTATTTATATATACATAATAAATAAGCACAGTATATACATACAGTATATATTGTGTAAAGAAAAACTTTTATTTTGGATGCGATTAATCGCGATTAATCGTTGGACAGCACTAAAAATATTTAATATAATTTTTTATATATTTTATATTAAGTATATATTATATTTAAAATATTTAATTTTTATATTTTTATATACATTTTATATTAAGATGTGCCATACTATAATTGCTCTGATTATTATTAATCATAAATGTAAATATTTTGACAAGTTTTCAAGTTTTATATTTTTATATTACATAATTATTAAATATTACTTTTAATATATTTTCTATTGTAATATTATTTTCTATTGTTTTTATATATTTGATAGAATATTAAGATTGGATTGGACACTGATTATTATTAGTAAATGTAGATACTTCCAACATTATTTTTCACTTTTATATTTTTATATTAAGATGTGCCTGTAATGTAAAGTCTCTAGTAGCTTTTTGTTTTATTAAAGTCAAATATATTTCACAGTGAAAATCTATAACAATATTGCAATATTTAATTAATCACTATTGGTCTTACCTCATCTGTTTCTGGCTCCAGCAGATCCCCTGGTTTGGACTCAGTTTCTGCCTCAAATAAATATGTGTGCATTCTGTTTTCTGTAGAGTTGTGTGGGCTGGAAGCTTCAGGTTCAAATCCGATCAGATCATGCACAGACACCTGATCTCCGTTTGGTTCTTGGGGTCCAGGATGACTGGACTTTGATTCTGGCTGTAGAATGTGGTCAGGAGCAGCAGGAGTTTCTCTGGATGGAGATGAGGAACATCTCGACCTAGTTCCCCATCTTCGGGGTTTCACTGAAAAGTCATCGTAAGTCACTTGTGTGAGTCGAGGCGAGACGTCAGCAGGCTGGACGGTGGAGACCAGAGTCTGTGACGCATCAAACGATATTAAATCATAACTCGTAGGCACTTCCTCTCGTAATCTCTCTGCTGCTTCACACGTTTCCATCTCCATCTCATGTTCTCGTTCCTGTTTTCGTTTATCTTCTTCTTTCTGTATTTCAATCTCTTGAGTTCTTCTTCTCTCTTTTTCCATCTCTTTTTCTTTCTTTAGTCTCTCCAATTCTCGTTCTTTTCTCAATCTTTCCTCCTCTTTCTGTCTTTCAATCTCTTGAGTTCTCCTTCTCTCTTCTTCCATCTCTTTTTCTTTCTTTAGTCTCTCTAATTCTCGTTCTTTTCTCAGTCTTTCCTCCTCTTTCTGTCTTTCAATCTCTTGAGTTCTTCTTCTCTCTTCTTCCATCTCTTTTTCTTTCTTTATTCTCTCTAATTCTCGTTCATTTCTCAATCTTTCCTCCTCTTTTTGTCTCTCCAATTCCTGAATACTTCTCCTCTCTTCTTCCATCTCTTTTTCTTTCTTTAGTCTCTCTCTTTCTCTTTCCTGTCTCAGTCTTTCTTTTTCTCTCTGTCTCTCCTCTTCCATTCGTTTTCTTTCTTCAATTTCTCTCTCTTTACGCAGTCTCTCTAATTCTCGTTCTTGTCTCAATCTTTCCTCCTCTTTCTGTCTTTCAATCTCTTGAATTTTTTGTCTCTCTTCTTCCATTTCTTTTTCTTTCCGTATTCTCTCCATTTCTTGTTCTTGTCTCAATCTTTTCTCTTCTTCCATTCGTTTCCTTTCTTCCATTTCTCGCTGTTTATTTAACCTCTCTTCTTTTTCTCGTTCTTGTCTCAGTCTTTCCTCGTCTTTTTGTCTCTCCAACTCCTGAATTCTTCTTCTCTCTTCTTCCATTTCTCTCTCTTTCTTTACTCTTTCTTCTTCTTCAATCCTTCTCTTCTCCTCTTCAATCTGTCTCTCTCTCTCTTTTTCGGCCTGCCTCCTCCTCTTCTCCTCTTTTCTTTCTTCTGCAATTCTTCTCTTTTGTTCTTCTTCTTGCTTTCTCTTTTCTTCCACCTGTCTTTTCTTTTCCTCTTCCTGTTTTCTCTCTTCCTCAGCACGTTTCCGTTCCTCCTCTTTCTGTCTCTCTATTTCTCTTGCCTTCCTCTCCTCCTCCAAAAGTCTTTCCCTTTCCCGCTGTTGTCTTTCTTTCTCTAACTGCTCATCTTTTCTCTGTTTTTCTTCTTCTTCCCTTCTCTTTGTCTCCACATCTAAGCTCGTCCCAAGCCTTCGGTAAACAGGAACAGGGACATAGTCCTCCTCTTCATCTTCATGGTCTTCCTCTTCTTCTACATTCTCCACACTAGCAGCACAGTTCTTGATTTCTGCCATACTTGGTGGTTTGTCAATAGGCACCTTTTCTGTCGCTGCAGGTTTTTCAGATGATCTCTCATTTGGTGTCTTCTCAGATGGTGGACTGCAAATATAAGAGTTTGGAAATATGTTATAGCTTTGGAAATAAGGACAACATAAATCTAGAAATATATATAAGTATACATACTTAACATTCCTGCCAACATTTCCACTGGCCTCACCACAAAATAATTTAAATGTTTATGTTTGCTAAGAATAATTTTTATATTTGTCATTAAATGTTTTTTTTGTTACTGCCACAGTAGGCCAATACAAAAAGAATATTTGCAACAAATTATTCAACTACATTATTCATAAACACACTTTTTTTCTGATAAATTATTGCATAAATCATAATTGATTGGTTTATACTGATGTTTTGAAGACTATAGCAAATCACTTTTTTAACAAAATCAGTTAGTCAGCTAGATAACATTATCTTGGTGACAAATCCGCAAAATAGACAAAAATCAAACGTTTAGGTTAATTGTGAAACATATTCTAAATAAAAATGTTTATGTTAGGCTACTAAATAAATGAAAAAAATAACATTTTGTCACATATTTAACTGAAATATTCGTTTCTGAATTATTCCGAGCTTTTTTTAACGAATCTGCTGAATGAATGGCTCATTGACTCATTTACATGTTTCGTTCCTGAATGATTCAGCGCTTTTTCAAATGAATCTGCGGAATGAATGCTCACTGAGTCACGCGTTTGTTTCGTTCCTGAATGATACAAGCTTTTTCAAACAAATCATGATTCACTGACTCGCTCACTTGTTTTGTTCCTGAATGATTCAGTGCTTTTTCAAACGAATCCGATGAAGGAACGGCTCACTGACTCGCTCGCATGTTTCGTTCTTGAATGCATAAGAATGAATACAAAAAGAAAACCTGTCATGATGTTTGTGAAGCTGTTTCTTTTGGTTCAACGACCATTTGATTTGAGAACTTGATTTGATTACCGGTGTGATGTGTCAAATCATTAGTCATAACAGACATAGCTGAAGCTGAACAATAGCTGAAACGTTTTCTAATATGATTGAAATACAATTAAGAGATGAAAATGAAACAGGCTTCACTAACCTTTTAGGACCACCAGTGGATGGCAAGCGTGTCCTGGGCACGTCCAAGCTCAGATTCTGGATTCTCTGTTTAATATCAACAGATATTTCAGAAGCTGGATTGTCTCTTTTGTCGAAAATGTCCTTGTGCTGAGCTGCTGTAGATCGATCGAAGAGAAGGCTGATCCGTCTCTTAATGCTGCCTCCGCTGACGTCCTCGTCTCCCATCTCTCCTGTATCCACCGGAAGCTTCGAAGGCTTGGACTCAGAAGGAGAAAGTGGCGGCCACTCTTTCTCCATCTTGCTGGTTTCAGTATCTCTCCTCACCTCCTTCTCGGGTTGAGACGGTGACTCAAACTTGGAGGTCAGCTCAGCAGAGAGACGATTCCGAGGCGGCCAGCATCGTGAAGACACTTTGACGTCTGCTTCAGTCTTGGCTGCTTCTCCTTGGTCCTTCTGGTTGAGAAACTTTTGATCCTGAGAACCCAAAGATTTTGCTCTGCTCCTGGGCTGAACGTCCTTCACATCTTCAGCGGTCAGAGCAGGCTTTGAGTTTGGACCAGTTTGGTTATTATAACCAGGACTCTTAGTGGGTTCTGGTTTAGGTTTAGCCAATAAGTCAGGTTTTGGGCCGAGTGGAACGGGTTTAGGAGCTGCAATTTGATTAGACTCATTTACTGTGCCATTTGAGCCTGATTTTTGGGATTCTGATAGATTTGGACCACCAGCACCAGCTTTTTTTATATCAAAAAGCGCTTCAGAAGAGGCGGCTCGATGGAGCTCTCTGCTAAAGTTGGTTTTTGGGGCCCGGATTGGGCGGATGGTGGAGTTTCTTTGCAGGGCAAATGGTTTAGGCATGAGGTGGGGTTTTGGGCGCAATGCTGGCTTCCCAGTGTCTCCAGGGAGTGCAGAGGCTGAAACTGAAGGTTTGTCTGGGTTGATGAGCGATTGGCCCATTTCCCTTGTGGTCGCCCCCATCCATGCAGCCATGGCTATACACCTGGATGGGAAAACAAAAGAGAAACACCCCTGTGGGATCTCAGTGGTATTAACATACATCTTTGGGATGTTACCATAAACATGCACTCTAAAAAAATGCTGGGTTGTTTCAACCCAATGTTGGGTCAAATATGGACTAACCTAACTGTTGGGTTAAAAAGCTCATTTAAAAATGTAACCAAAATTTAACCCAACTGTTGGGTTAGTCCATATTTGGAAACACCCCTGTGGGATCTCAGTGGTATTAACATACATCTTTGGGATGTTACCATAAACATGCACTCTAAAAAAATGCTGGGTTGTTTCAACCCAATGTTGGGTCAAATATGGACTAACCTAACTGTTGGGTTAAAAAGCTCATTTAAAAATGTAACCAAAATTTAACCCAACTGTTGGGTTAGTCCATATTTGACCCAACATTGGGTTGAAACAACCCAGCATTTTTTAGAGTGTGCTTGCAAAAGACACAAAAAAAATCACCATATAAAATAATTACAAAAAACATATAAATAACATAAAATAAAATACTTTTATATTATATTCTCTTATCAAATCTCTTTTGATCACTTGTTGAGTTGAGAAACTCTGAAAACTTGTGTCAGTGTTTTATGCATGCAAATGTGTCTGCAAAGGGAAAAAAAACACTGTGATTAGATTTTTCAAATAAAACAACTAGAGTAAGTTTAACAAGAAAATACTATTTTAGTCTTCAAAGCTTCATGTGTAATTCAGTGTGTTACTTGATGTTTCTTTGTAATTATTTGTAAAATTTACTAGCAATTTCTGATTGAAAATTGTTCCATCACCAATTATTTTTCAATGTCAATGCAAGAATAATTTAGCTAAATGCATGACTAACTTTAACACATTTAAAACTTGAGGAATTTTTTGAAAGTTTTGAGGAATTTTCAAGTAGATCTTTATCTTATAAAGCTAAAATATATATATTTTTTGATGAAAAATTAACACCTATGAAAATTTTAGGCAAGTGTGTATAGCAGTCATGAAAATCTGAGGTTAAATGTCAGTCATATTAGATACAAGAACAGTTTGTTATTAATTAGATTGTTAGGTTTTTGTTTGGCACTTTTCAAATGAAGTGCCATTGCATTTAATTTCTTTTTTTATGATGATATATTCTTTCCTCTTAAAGCAACCTAAAAACGCCCACACATTGTGCTGATCACTTCAGTGGCTCGCAGGTAGTGCAGTCAAACGATTAATCGCGATTAATCACATCTAAAATAAAAGTTTTTGTTTACATAATATATGACTGTGTACTGTGTATTTTTATTATGTATATATAAAAGCACACACATACAGTATATACTTTGAAAATATTTACATGTATTTACATGTATATATTTATATTCATGTAATTTATGTTATATATAAATATATTTATTATATAAACATAACATATTTTTCTTAAATATATACAAGCATGTGTTTGTATTTATATATACATAATAAAAATACACAGTACACAGTCATATATTATGTAAACAAAAACTTTTATTTTAGATGTGATTAATCGCGATTAATCGTTTGACAGCACTACTAGCAAGACAACAAGGAAACCTCTGAGCATCAATATGAATGCAGTACAAGTGAGATAAGGAAAGTGTTACGTAATATCCATGAAGTAGTCAAATGTTTTTGGATGGTTTAATCAATATGCATTCTGGAAAGATTTGTTTGAATGTTCTAAGTCAGCTCTTCTGATTTAGATCACTAAGTAAATAAATAGTCACTTAGTGGACACTTTTAGGCATCATGAAGCATTTTCGCTTTCAGTACGGACAGAAAAAGATGTTAGGACCTGCTTAGGACTTTAGCTGGTTGTTGTGCTCTAACCAACACAGTGGTTTGTATGGTTAGTTTTAGAAATTTGCCACTATTTGTTAGCTGCTGTAACTACAACGTTACATGGCGAAAAAGCTTTTTTCTCAATTAAAAGCCATTCAAAAGATCTTCTAAACAGAATATCTAAACATGCTTAACATAAAATGAATTTACTTGTGCAGATGATTTCAGAGAACATATCCTGAATACCATTTATATTTTATTTCACTATTGGTAAAACATTTTTTTTTCATGTTTTAAGCACAAACCTTACATACAGTTATAGATTCATGCTATATATATAAAAAAATATATATATATATATGAAAAAAGAAAATTATTATAAATAATATTAATTAATAAATACATCTATTTAATATAAATACATTTTATTTAAGATATATGCTCTGGAAATATTTTTTATATCATTATATCATGTAAATCATCATTTTGTGTTAAGCCTATTAAATAAGACAAACTGCTGATTAATACAATTCATTTTTACATTGTAAGAAAAGTCATTATATAATAGTACGTTTTTCATTAGTGCCACATTGCAACTTCCTTGCTACTGCTATGCAGGCTAATGGAGATCTCTAGAGGGATATCAGACCTTTTTGGTGGAGACAGAATGAATGAATCAATGCACACTTCAAAGCAGCCAAAAACATATTAAAACGGCGCTCTCTGCGAAAGACACAAAAGGCCAATCCAGTCGGTTGAGCTCTCTAAGGCCATCTTACTCTGGTTGGGCTAGATTTTTAAGTTTTTCCATTCAATTAGGGTTACTCAAACAAGAAACGACTAGACGTTTCTCTGCAGGCTATTTATACACACCCTGCATGACCCACAATATATGACCAGCATCACTTTCACCCGATGTTTGTCTGATATCAGCAGTCTGCATGCAGACAAACACCATCACATGGAGAAATTACTCATTTGCAACCAGTCATGCACTAGCCTGAAATTAACTGAAGCAATCCGAATGTTGACATTTCGAAACCGTCGCCCATATTCTCTTACACTCTAAAAAATGCTGGGTTAAATACAACCCAGTGCTGGGGTTACACAAACCCAGCAATTGGGCTGTTTTGACCCAGCGGTTGGGTTACTACCCAGAAGGTTGTGTTAAACATTTAACCCAACCGCTGGGTCAAAACAACCCAATTGCTGGGTTTGTCCCTATTTTACCCAGCACTGGGTTGTATTTAACCCAGCATTTTTTAGAGTGTATCATCGTGCAAAACAAGTTAGAGCCTGGCTTGTTGTGAGAGTTTTGAAGAAATCCCTTCCCCAGATTGACAAAGTTAGGCAAAGCTGAGTTAACTTAGTATACTTTCTGACTTCCATTGGCCACAAATGCTTCAGGTGAAGACACTGAAACATTATCCACAGGTGAAAAAATGCTCACTTCTCATATTTTGGCTTGGTGTAAATGTGTCTTCGTTCAACAAACCAGTCCAACAGCAAGCTAGTATTGTCAGATGAGAAATAGCTGGACAAAATGTGTTATCCTCAAAATAAATCGCAATACTAATAGCTGGCAGCCAGCAGTTATCAGACAATCCCTTATCGGTATTTATTGGAGTTGCTGCCTAAGCAGCATTTCTATGCAAGATTTTGAAAATGACAGCTTAATTACTTGAGCAACCTCAGAAAAAAATGTCCACACATTTGGACACACTTTAAGTAAATTAGATCATTAAAATGCATACTGTCTTTCTCTGCTTACTGAGATCCAGTGATTTTGACCTGGGATGGTCAAAGGACAGAGCTAATGTTCAAAGTAAGTAAGTTCACACAGCATGTAAGATCTGCAGAGCTTACACTCACCAGGATCATATGCAAATTATTATACACAATTTTACATGCTGAGCTTATAACATGGCCAGTGCGTGTGTGGAGAGGAGGTTTATTTATTTAACTGCGTTTCTGTCACGCTTCTCTGAATTTACATAGTTAAATTTCTCAATAACCTTTTAGTTAGAAACTTTACTAATAACCGATGACATTATATAATTAATTAGTTAATCAATTAAATGCAGAATCAATTATCTATAAATGGCATCAAACTCAGATTCATATATTAATGTTAAAGTTAAGCATTATATAATGTTATCGACTTGTTAATAAGGGTTTTACATTTATAAAAAGCAAAGAGTGGGGAAATAGAAAAAAGAACAGCTTATATAACAGGAGCACAGTAATCTGCACCTGTTGGTTGGTAATAAGTAACTTATGAATAAGTGCCTCTTACAATAAACCGTCTTTGAACCCTGTATAATTTCCAGCTGTGGGAAAAAAGCACTATTTTGGCAGTTTAGTCCGGAGGTACTATTAAGTATACAGAACGATTAACAAAATAAATATTACAACTGAAATAAGTATACAGTTTATTTACATTAGAGAGTGAATGAATGTTGTCATTAGCATATTAAATACACAAATAAACAAGTTGAAATAATGTGCATTTACCTGTATAGTGATAGAATTATTCCATGAGATTGTACATATAGATTCTAAGCTCAAATACACGTCTGCGTCCTTTTGGATTGTAGGTGTGCAGCTCAAACACTAAAGAAAGGAGGGCGGGTCGCAAATGTACGAATCCTACTATGGCGAATGCTTATCTCATGAATATTAATTTTACGTTCTCTGATAACGTTACGGGAGGAATGTCCGCTCCTAGTTAATATTCATAAGACTCCGGCAGAGCCTGATTCTTTTATTTGAGAACGTCTTTGCCTTTCGTCCAATCATCAGGCAGCTTGGCGAACGTCACGGTACGTAATTAATATTCATGAGCCAGGCCTGGAAGGGCGATTCCTGTCAGCAGCGCGAGCAGCGGCGGTCTCGAGGTGTTGCGCGCGGTCACTCCTCCTCTCATAAACGTGCTCAGCCTTCAACCGGAAAAACCAGTTAAACTGAATGGAAGGAGAAAGACACGGGGTGTGTAGAAAATACTGTATGAGATGGGAGACACACAGATATAGGTACATGTTCCATGATAAACTATTAAATGACGATGCGTGGGATCTAATTAAGTTGGCGTGAATATTTGTTAAAGGGATAGTTCACCCAAAAATGAAAATTCTGTCATTAATTACTCACCCCCCATGTCGTTCCAAGCCCGTAAGACCTTTGTTCATCTTCAGAACACAAATTACGATTTTTGATCAATTCAAAAGAGCTCTCTGACCCTCCATAGACAGCCAGGGAACTACCACAGTCAAGGCACAGAAACCTATAAAGGACATTGTTAAAATGGTCCATGTGACATCAGTAGTTCAACCATAATTTTAAGAAGCTATGAGATTATTTTTGTGCGCAAAGAAACAAATAACGACTATTCAACGTGCTCTTTTGGGACAGTCTGCCGCCATTATCAAGAGTATGGCGCATACTTGTGCATTCCTCTGCTTGGAAACAAGGCGCAGCACATGCGGTTTTTACAGGCAGGAAAAGCATGCACATGCATCGTGATACTCTCCAAAATGGCGGCGCTGAGGAGAATTGTTGCGTAAATTCGTTATTTTTGTATAACTATCCCTTTAAGGCTGTTAAAGCGGTTTTAAATAGCAACAGTACTTTGTCAGCCAACATCATCGTTGGTCTTTACAAACTTTTATTTTCTAGCTAAATGCTTTTTGTTTTTGTCTTTTTTAAATACTGTTTTACTGATTTAGGATGAAATGTGGCATGCCATTTGTCCATATTTTATTGAGGGATGAGTATAATATCTATCTATCTATCTATCTATCTATCATTTTTTATATTTTGTGAATCATAAGCAAAGGACATCAAATGTATTGTTTATTTTGTTGTTGCTAATTTAACCATGCGTTTAGGGTTGTCTTAAGACTTAATGTACATTTGGTGTGACATAACATACAGTTAGACTTTGGTCAAATGTCAACTTTTTACAGGTTAGTTAGTGGTATAATATCTAACTAGTAGAATGAGATATCTATACTGTAGTGTTAGCACTTTTACTTTGTTCAAACAAAATCTATAACAGCGCCAATTGGATTTATATGATTAATATGCAGTTCAGTCTGATTTAATATTATATATAATCGAAAAGTTTATAGTGAATTTTCAATATATTTATGCCTCCACTGCAGCTGTGTACAGATAAATTTTTTCCCCTTGACAGAAGTCTATAGGAAATGAAATAACGAGTCAGGAACATAAACAGGAAACACAAACGACTAGTGGACTAAACAAATATAGATTTCAGAAAATCCATAGAGTAGATGGGTCAGATAAATAGTGCTGTCATATCGACCTGTAGATTCATGATAGAGCCATGATCAATAGAGCCATGCATGTGAGTTAATAATTGCTGTTAGTGACCACGAGTTGGTGTCTAAGTATCTTTGATATATTGTTATAGTTTTTTAGTTAATATTTTTACATTTTTCATTTACAACTATATATATATATATATATATATATATATATATATATATATAATCACATATATAGTATATAG